TCGCAGGGAGAGGGAAGGGTGTGCCCCTCAAGGGAGTGGTCCAAGGGATGCGAAAGAAGGAGAGAAACCCCGCCCACTTTGACCCTGATTCTAACACGCACCTTTTTTTGCGCGAACATCTTGATCCGGGAACGGATCACGTCGATGCCTCGCTCGTCCGAGGCGTTCAGCTCCAGCACCGCCGCTCCTGTGGAAATGGCCAGTGGGAGGACGAAAGAAAAGGGGAAGGCCGGCGTGAAGACCTTGCAAGGGCGAGAGTAGGGTAGGGAGAGCAAAGAGGACGCACCCAAATGCTCCTCGCCCAGCAACTCGCGGGACAGGCACACGATGGAGGAGGTTTTCCCAGTGCCCTGGAGAGGAGGGAGGGAAGCCGAGAGGATGTGAGAAGAAGAGGAGAAGGTCGTGATCCTAGCTACGAGACGCACCGGAGGGCCCGCAAGCAGCATGTGAGGCATGTTCCCGTCTTGAGCCACCACCTTCAGGCGGTCGATGGCTTCCGTGTTGCCTACCACCTGACGAGGGAGAGGACCAAAGCGTTTGTATCGTGTGTCCATGGACCAAGGAGGCACAATGAAATGCATGGAAAAATATAGTGCGAAAATTTCTATTTATCCCCGACATAGCCGCCCTGGAAGTCCACACGTGGCGATGCCATGATGCTTGGTATTGTGGCGGTCAAGCCGTGCGAGGCATGAGAGGCACAGGTGAAACCAAAGCTCTGCACAGTAATTCCCCCCCGACATACAAGCTCTCACTCACATCATTCAGTGTGACTGGACGATATTTTTCTACCCAGGGCAAGAGACCTGGAGGCGCGTCTTTCTCCCCCTGCACGTTGGGAAGGGTCCCTGAGGAGGCGGCAGCAGCTGTAGCCATTCTTCCGCTCTGAGGTATATTTTGAAAATTACGGACAAAAATTGAAGTCCCACAAAAAAGGAAAGATGCGAGAGCTAATTATCAGGGGTTCTTTGTTGATGGTGGCTGAGAAAAATGGTCTATATCGGTTGCCGTCATGAGGGTCTCCGCCCCCCGAGGCACAGAAAAGAAGTAACCCCTCTTGTTCTTCGAGATGGGTGAGACTACGCCCTGCGCCAGCCGCGTCCACAGACATTGAATTTTTTATCCAACACCCTGCACCAATGAGCATTCTTAATTACTGTCTGAGGTCGGACTGACCGTCGAAGGCGTCCAAAGAGTTTAAGTTGTTGTCTTTCTTTTGATTATTTTCCCCTACGCCGGGCCTCGCCGAGAAGAGGAAGCGGCAGGGGCGAGGCGGGAAGTGGTGAAGGTCGTGTTTGGACGCAAATAAACATGAAATCACGCTCCCTCGTCCACTACTCAATGGTGTTGTCATAGCTCTTTAAGTTTAAAGCTCAGAGAACTGGGAAGCACGTGACTGAGTCGCGCGTCGAGCGGTTGTGGTGCTGAACGCCGCGGATGTGAAGGAACAGAGAAGCAGTTCCTGAGCGACAAGCGGCGAATGCCTACACCCCAACGTTCCCTTGCCCCTTTTTAGTTGCCAAGCCTGTCGCGAGGCTATAATGAGTCAAAAACTTGAGGAGTCTTCAGATATTTGCGTGAAACGCTAGTCTTGACCCCTTGTCCGGACGAAAGAGAGAGCGACACTCACTTGCTTGCCTTACCTTCATCTTGTTGCGCGCCATCCTCGAACTTTACGTGCTTTGTTGTGATTTAATTGAAAAAGCGCATGTATACAAGCGGGAAGAAGTGACAACGACAAGATATTTCGGACTGTGCATTCTTTTTCTCCGAAAGCGCTAAGAAAGGCTTCAATTTCCGTTTTCTTGTGCCTACCTCTTACCTCCCTGCTTCCCTCCCATGTTACTCCTTTTCCCTCTCGAGCACAGGCGTGAATCGTCGCCCCTTTCCTCTTCCATCCCACTTTTCTTCACAGAAGAGAGAGCATTTCGAGGATGGGGAGGCTTGAGAGAGTGACGCTGGAGAACTTCAAAAGTTATCCGGGGACGCAGGTGAGCCATCGGGCGAGGCGATGGAAGGGGAGGGCAGAAAGCTGGCTTGCGAAGGCGCAGGAGTGGCATAGACCATGACATAAAATAGGCTCTTCCATTTTTGCCAACCTCTTGCTTGCATACCGTCCATTACCGCCCGCTGAGTCAGGTGATTGGTCCCTTCCGAGACTTCACCGCCATCATTGGCCCCAACGGCAGCGGAAAGTCCAACCTGATGGACGCCATCTCCTTCGTCCTCGGCGTGCAGAGCCGGTATGTCGATAGACTGAAATGGAATCGGGACATGCAGGGAGGAATGGTCGCCCATTGTGGAGGGACCTCTCACGTGGCCGCTCCCCTCCCCCCGTCCCCCCTTCCC